TATGTACACTCTACAGAAATTAACATACTCGAACGACTCTAGCCGCCGTACAGTACACACATGTACATGTACATCGATATAGGCATACATGTATATGTACTAGGATATGCATGTACTCACATGCCTAAAACAAGAAAAAGTCTCTCCTCCATGCTCTGGCAAATCTCACGCAAACACAAAACACGTACGGTACAATGTACGTGAAGACCTCAGAAAGTTTCCCTCACAGAAGACAAGTCCACAAACCCACGGCAAATCATACAATCTATGGTAACTTCACATGTGACTAAATGGCTTGTACTGTGATGTACGTAAAAGACTAGTGCTAGACTCCACTACAACACTCACACAGACAAACTTTGCCTTGAAAAGGGAGGAACAAACCAATAGAGACCACTAACAGTGCAATGTACATGTAAGGCATCATTTCTGCCCAGCAGTTCCACTAAACGCTGTCACAAGAAGACAGGACAACACCAGAAAGTTCCCACTTACCTACATGATCATCCGTTTCTTTTCATCCTTCAGCAATTGCAATAAAAATGGCAAAGGCACAACTCGGCAAGATGAGATGTACGACAGTCAACGGCGTTAAGAATCCACCGCGGTAATATCTACATGTATTTCGACATTTCCTTCCCTGTTCTTGCTGCAACGTGCTCGGCATTCCCCTCCGGATTTTCTTTTTCCAAAGTCTGTGACAGCGCACCCCCGTACTTTTCCTTTTTTTTTTCCTTATTGGTTCCTCGTTGTAGGGTCCACTATGACACGCTGTGACTGTATGCAATGGACATTTTCGGAAGTGTGGAAAGGATGTGGACGCTTGTCCCCATTGAAAATTGCTGTGTGGGGAGACATACGGAAACTTGCATATCGATGGTTGGTTATCGATATAGTCAGCTACACTAACCTGTGAGGCTTTCATGGATCACTGGTACTTGCAATCAATTTTCCTCTTACTATTTCATGTAGATAACAGAAGGCACTTCTGCCAATAGTATACCCTCGTCTGACGTTAGTCTTATCCAGGATTGGTTCCGCTAAACGTGTTTGCTCAGTTAATAAATAACTTTTCAAGCAAGCTTTTGACAGGACTGTCTTTTGATTAATAAGACAAGCAAGCAGCAAGACAAAGCCATATAAACGTACATGTACATGTAGACCCACATTGTACGGGTCATTTTGAATGCAATTAAACGGCGGTTCTAAAGAATAAAGTTGATCACATTTTTGGCATCTTTTACAAGCTCAGAACGTTAACATGACAAATGCATGTACCAAAACTTATGAACCGGTGTTAGGTCAAGCTTTCACTTGGAAAGCAGTGCCATTACGGGGACAGGAATTGTGGCATTCATGTGAAAGTTCACAGTGAGGAAATCCATTCTCTATAGTCTGCTATTCGAACAGCCAATACGTGGCAATTTTAGGATCAAATCACTGAAAGCTACATGTATAATATGCAATCATGTGATACAGATTTTGGGGGATTTTTTTTTTCACATCACATCCTGGAAAATATTAATATACCATTGACAGGAGCTTGATCCGGTATGTGCCAAGAGCACAGGAAGTTCCAGTTAGCGAGGACGGAGATATATCTCAGATATCCAAGGATTGCATTGAAAAGTGGCAAGTGGAAAGTCCCCATATGTTCCAGTACGTAAAAATGTGAGGGGGCGGGTGCAGTAGGGAGGTAAAAAGTACCGTAGGACGGTTCAGTTGTGATATCTGGGAAAGCCAAGCAGGTACGTGTACATGTAGAGTGGCTCTTAGCATGGGGTCCATGGGCCTGTAATGCCCCCCCCCCGTAGGGGTCAGGGGTGAAGCTCTAGCTAGCTGGCAAGGGTCGAAGGGCCTGCAGATGGCCCACCAGCTCTTGAGCTTTATCAATTTTGAGATGTCTGCACAAGTCATAAGGGAAATCAATGTTGAGCTATCGTACATGTACCAGCAGGTAAAATCACTATACACGTAGAGAAAAGAATTCCACAGTGGCCTTTTGCTCCAATTTAGAGATCTAGCTTCCACCCGAGAGAGGTATTATTGGTCTCTAGATACATGTAGCTTCATCTTCTCTTTCCTTTTTCTCATTTAAAGTAGGACTTTTTAAAAGTCCAACTTCCCGGTCTTGCTGCTGCTATCAAAATGGGACAGGTACTGTAGACATAGATGTGGTATTGTTTCCATCCAGAAATAAAAGGACTGCACTTATTGTTTTTCGAATGGTTCCTTGCCATGTTGAAGGAACTACATGTATTACCGAGTACCAACTGTGAAGGGTCTACATTTTTGATCATGTGTACATGTACATGTATTTTGTATACATGTTATATGTTCATGTACTGGTACCGTACCATGCCCATTCAATAACTTTTTAGGAGATTGCTAACAATTAATATGAAATGAAGCATTTCAATGGGATTGGACATTACACAATTGTATGCACTAAAACTACGCATATGCACATGTGCGGTGTCTACAAATGATCTTTGCCATTCAGTGTACAAACATCAAGCAATGACTCATCACTGAATCAATAGAATTCAGATAGCTAACACTTTCAAGATTCGCCAACCAAAGTGCAAAATCGTTAAGTACCTGTACCCGGAATACATTTACGTCATGCACCGGAATGCGCACTGTATCAACCAGTAAGGCCATACTCTATAATACTAGCCCATATGCTGATAAATATTTCAACAACCCTTGAAAGCACTTCAACCTTAATTTTACTTACATGTACACGTATCTGTACACTATCACCCACAGTAACCATGGTGACTTGTAGCAGGACACATCTGTCAGATTGTGTTATCAAATTTTATCTGGCACATACATACATGTACATACAGAACAATTTTTCCTTTACGAATGTATTATTTTGGTGGGCATTTTTTAATTCTCTCCCATGCAAAGGAACAATGCTCCTGCTCTTAAGTTTCCAGGCAGGCAACGGAATTTATTTATTTTTGGTGTACAAAAGACGCAATGTACAGCAATCAACTACCAATGCAGATGTGAACAGTACCATTAGCCCTAACAGTCCTGAGCACTCCAATTAGGGGCCTGTCCAGAGTACTGCCAGTATTTAGTAGTAAAATGTAGTACTCAGCCCTGTCGCTTGTAAGAGGACACGACATTATTATTCTCTGACGCCATAAAATACAATCGAGAAGACAATGTACCATACAGTGCTGCGGTGCTAAGAATGCACGGTTTCATTGTTCTCTGTACGAGTAACCAATGGAAAAAACCTAGCCAGAAATAGTCATCTGTAGCGCTAGGTCCTTCAGGCTCAGAGTGTTACGTAGTATTTTGTAGAACTGAGGACTCTAAGCCAAACAATGCCCGGTACTGTTAGGGTTAGTGAATACGATAACACACTCTATGCAGAAGTAGCTATTTTTCCTCTCACTTTCCATGTTTCTGAACGTTTCACTTTTTTCTTTTTACACACGTTCGTGTACAGGACACATGTTTAAAGCATCGTTTGTTAAACTGTTTATACAGGTGGCCATTTCAAAGTTTCACTTGCGATGATGTCTTTACAATCCACTTAAAAGTTGAGTGCCAACACTGCTGGAAAAAACAAGGAAGGAAACTCAGCAAAGCTTGGACAGATACAGGAATAAATTCATGTACATGTAAGTGTTCTTGTACGCACCACACATGTATACACATGTACAGGTACATGCATGTATGAAGGGTTTATTCCCAAATCATATATACATGTACATCCATTTGAAAAGCATACAATTTTTCCAAAATTATGAAATATCGAAGAGCTTCAGCAGTGTACCATTTGTCCCTACAACTTATTTTTCACAATCTGCAAGCTGTAGAAACTGACTGCAGGCAACTGAGAGAGGGTTGGATGGGTATAAAAGTGGCACTTATTGCCATTTGCGTATTGTCACAGTCCAGAAATGAAAGCCATCAAGGGTCAGACAAACCGGGCCGATTTCACGAAACTCATCTTATCTTGCAACTTACATGTATCTTAGGGCTGAAGATGAGTCCCAAGTCTACGATTAATCTTTGCTGAGGGTTTCAAGATTGATTTCATCAAACCTATCTTAAGAAAGATAGGTCGTAACTAGAAATTTGGTGGCTGTTTCATGTTTCGTTGTGCCCTTTGATGAAAAGAGTCATTGAAAATAAAGGAAAAAGCCAGAACAAGAAACCTGTGGCAGAACAGCTGACTCATGTATGCTTCCAATCATTTTGATATTTCCATTTTAACATGACAAATAGGTTTTCCCGTACTGTTATAGTTTTCGGCATTTTGCTACCTAATTATATATGAAAACACAATCATGTCTGTTTCTGCAGCTAGTTTTCATCCAACAAAACTGTTACATTTATAGCTCTAGGGCAATACTCGTCTCTCACTTTGATAATTACTGCACGCATCAATGAGATAAGACAACCCTCAGACCAATCTTACATGTAAGCTAGGAAGAGTTCCTGAAGAAGTTAGGGCTTGTTGAACGTGAACTCAAGTTTAGTGAAGTTGATCCCAAGATCTCAAGACACGTCTTAGCGTTTCATGAAATCGACCCCTAGTCACCAAGCTGTTGCAGTTGTAAAGGCCTTCCTTAGTAAGGCATTGTTCATCCTTGGTTACAGACTGCAATACTGCATGGACGACGACATTAACCAGCTGAAAACATCAGTGTTTACACATGTACTTTGTTTCAACAAGTCACGTAATTTGAGAGGCTCAAAGGTATCAACCCACACTTGTGAGACATATTTACAAGTACAGGTATATACAGGTGTAAAAATAGTCATTTCTCCACTGTACCCAGCACACGCTGGGGAATAGGGCTGAGTCAATTTGAATAATTCACTATTCGAACATTCGACATTTGATTCGATCAAATATCCAACTATTCAGTAGTACCAATAGGCAGATTGCTGATAAACAAACCATATATAAAATCAGTTGCAAACAACACACACACAGTTGTACATGACATTAGCTTCTTAAATAAATTAAAACAGTCCAGGAGTATCTCCAGCTGAGATTTAGCAAAATTTAAGAGACGAAAAATACTTCTTGGTTCTTGCCCTGTTGAAAATTTCTGTTGCTTTTTAATTTTTTAATGAGTAATTAACTTTTTGAATTGCAAGATTTCTGTCGCTTTTCATTTGCATCTGCTTGAAACAAGCCTCCATAGTGCAACTTTTTCTCATTTAAAACAAAAAAAAATTCTCCCTTCCTTTTCATGAATTTTGCAATTGAATATTCAAATTCGGATTATACTATTCAAATGTTTGATAATCGATCGATTATTGGGATATTCAGCACAGCCGTACAGGGGAATCTTCATTGGACAGTCTGATATATGCACCTTTAGTTATGTAAGCTAGCACTTGTGTGCATTAGAACCCTGGTGCATACTTCAAGCAGGGGTAGGTACTGCAGTGGTCACGGGCACTGGTCACTTCTCAAAAATGAGATTCAGAGAGGAAGCTGTGAAACACCAAAGCCACACCTGAGGACCTCCATACGGGTACAGTGAAGTCACGTTGGCACTTGAAAGGGATTATCAGTCTCCCATCTGGGAGTGGACTAATACAGGTATAAGAGGGAGGGGGGAGAACGGGGAAGGGTTTGATCCTTACCCTATAGTTGCCATTCAGATTTTCCATCGTACGCTCCTGGCGGTGTCTGCCGTCCTCAAATGTCATGCTGAACATTTCATCAAAAAATCCAAAGGAGCTGATCCACTGGGAGAATATTCATATAATCCTACACAGACACCAATGCACGACTGCGGATAAGGGACACATCACAATCACACAGGTAGATTTTTGACAGCATGCTATATGACGACAGTCGCTCAATGTGTCAGGGAGGCCACATCCAGGGAAAATACACGTACGTGTACAATTTACAAGAAGTCAGGAAATCTCAATCTCTTTCTTTTTTCTCCTCGCGTCTGATCATGTGCCCAAATATCCCCAAATCACAGCCAACTACTCTACAACTGTCATTCTCTCGTCCTACAGAGCTGTTGGTATACGTCCCAGTAGCACATGCGGTTTGCTGTTGGTTATTCCGGGGATTATTCACAGCAGGAAATACAGCACATAAAAGCGTTCGGCCATGTACACCAACATTCAAATTGCCAATTTATTTCCTGTTTCAAAGAGGCTCACCAAGGTGTACGTGTACATGTACACCTGTCTCTTAATTTTTTAGCCTTAACCATGTACATCCAGCAGGCCGATCTAGGGTATACCGTCGTCCTAGGGAATTGTGAGCAGGCTATTCACAACTTCTCTCAGGCCCAGGGAGTGGTGACATCTCGCTCCAGTTGTAATGAAACTAAACACAAAAATAACAGGCCGAACTCAACCAGATTTCCTTCTGTGAAATCTGTGCACGAGGTACTGTCGGTCACACAGGCCAATGTACGATTTGACAGCGGCCCCGGTAAGCTTTCGCAACTACAAACCTGCCGAGCATGCCGAAAGTGGAACAGCAAAACGCAGTGCAAAGCATTCAAGGTTGTTATAGCATGACTTGGATCTCTTTGTCTTGATGTCAATATGAGAGCCTCTTTAATCGGGTATTAAATGGTGGAATTATATGTACATGTCCACACAAGTCTGTCAGCTGGACTGTGCACTACCAATACGGGGTACCGTACCGGTACCTGCCTCACTGCTATAGTGGTGAACATCAGCGTCCTACCATTGATGTGTATTTTCATAACAAAATAAGACTCCTATACTGATCAAATTAAGCTGACCCTCTCAATTTCACCAATGAGAAAAAACCACTGCAATATTTTCACATAGGTACAGTATGCTGTCTAGTTACCGGTAGACTGTAACTGCTGGGTTGGTGCACATGCTGTGCTATCAATATTTACAGAAATTGGCAATTGGCAGCCAACCGGGAAAAGCTGCAAGGGTAGGGCCCAATGATAGTACTTGATTTTGTTTTATAACTTGTGATATGTACATGTACATGTATTTTGCTGCCAATCACAGGGCACCAAATTCAAGGACGGTTGCCAGGCATACAGACACTGTTGACATACACAAATAATGCACTATGCTGTATACGAAGAATAAATGCATACCGGTGACAAATAATGTACCTTACAGGGCATGTTGACTGGCAACCTGTTTTTTTTTGCCCAGCGACTACTTACACTGAAAATTACTGAAGCTTTCCAGAAAATCTCCACTGGACAGCTCAAGGAGTGAGAAAACTAGAGAGCTGTTCTCAAGAGGGGCACAGAATGAAAAATCTCAGGCTATAGATAAATGTACCTGTACCCAGACAAACGCAGACATTGGTACCTGTCCCCAGACAAACGCAGACACTGGTACCTGTCCCCAGACAAACATATAATTCCACATACTGTAAGTTATCTACCGGTACATGTACATCCTGCATTTGATCTTCAGAGCTGTCATTAGATTCAACAAAAAAAACCAGGAAAGTCATACGCATGTGGTTCTACACCCTCCATGAGTGGACAATTTCTAGTCATCAGCTGACAGGAGATGAGGCTAAGTACAGTGACCAAACTTCTGCAAAGTGGCAATCTTTGTGGTATTCAACATCTCGAAAATCTGTACATCTCACTTTCTTAACATATAGTACATCACGGTCATAGCCTACATTTGTCTCCTAAGGCTGGTAAACTATGACAGGCCATCAGTACAAAAACACATTAACAATCCGCAAAATGTAAACAAAAATATCATCATTTCAATGCCCTATTTATATACACGTCGGAGCAAAACTACTGACATTTTGAGAAATACATGTAATCTGACATTAACTACAGACGCTGTACAAACTGTCACCGCCAGTGGGGGGTGGGTCTGGGGCACATGCCCCCACAAATTCCTGGCGCCCCCTCCCACTTTTAAAAACACGGATGAATGGATAGTGAACATGGCTAACGAAAGCTTGCCCAAAAAAACCACACCATTGAAATCTGGTGCCCCCCCATAAGATGCTGGTGCCCTCTCCCACTGGTAAAATCCTAGCTAGGATCACCATCCACAGAATCAATGGCCAATGCATTCATGTACATTATGTATGAGAGAGGTTTACATGTGCCGGTTGGTAACTTTATGATGTTTTGAGGACACTGTGTACCCTGTCCTTGCATTACTCTTGGCAAAGGTTCAAAGTCCATGTACATGTCAATTTCCAGTGCATGAACAGTGTTCACACTTCCTGCTTAAAGCTACAGACTTCTCGAGTGTACCGTCCGCTGTTGCCATTTCCTCCGGGAACTTACCTGTTTCGTCATCTGATATCCCTCCATCGGTTCGATGCAATTCCAAGCAAGCAGAAAAAGAAACACTAGCTCAAAGGGATGGCCAAAATAGGACATTCAACTCAAACGAGTATCTGAATACTTCAACACCACACGGTGCATACAAAAACCCTCGATGCTATTCACTCACTGCCGTTGGCAGAGGCTACTGTAACCCCCTGAACTCTGAATACATGGGATGAAAAGTTCCTCTGTCATGATTCTCAAGCATCTGACACGGCATGTTTTCTCTGGCCTCTTCCTATGTGCCATAGGAAACTAGTGCGTAATAACCGTCCAAAACCCAAGGCTAGACAAGCATTGTGTGCGACCGGTAGTCAGTCGGATGTTACCACTGCAAAAATCATTCAAGCTGCTTCTATATGGATGTTGGGCTTTGCACCTTAACTTCACACCTCATCTTGTCACTGAATTCTGAGCTGACCCCATATCACAAACTATCCAAGGCCTCGCCAATTCCAGACTGCAGAGATTTAAGCTGCTTCTACATGTACATTGGCTGTGTCAAAATCGGCTAGACTATGGCTATGACTTCTCATTTTTCCATTGATGTGCTAAGGACACGACAGATGACAGCCATAGCCATAACATCTGTTTCTAATATTGGTTCACTGTACACTTAAGCTTGATGTCTTTCTTTTGATACCGTGCGAAGAACACACCTCGTGGGTCCATGATACCAATGGATTATGTTAAAGATCAGTGCAGGTTCCTGTTAAGCACAAGTCGAAAGTTCATGCTCCTTTGACACACAAAAAAAACAAGGTTTCTGAACTTCCACTGTCAACCTCAAACAAAGCTACTGGTGCATCAATCCTACCAAAACTCGGACGGAGAGAAAACGCAGGATAACTTTCACCGAAAAAAGTGAAGTGAAAAAAGTCATCCACTGGTGAGCCCGCTTCTGCAGATTGCAGTTTCGAGCTGATGATTCGACACTTTTGCAAATCTGGATGCAACGCAGGAAGAGGGAGAAAGTCATAACATATCCCCATGCCAAGTTTTCCTGTAAACAGGAAGGGAAAAACTCACAGACGTACAGTTGAACACTGTGATACAATTGATCCATACCAACTCAACTCTCAACTACTGTACATGTACCTCTGCTGCTGATGCAACTTACCATAGGGCAAGCCGGCAGGCGACAATGACTAAATAGTGACCACGGGTCATGGCCGGTGTTGATCTCTGGTCATCGGGTCAAACAAAAGCAGGAGCTGCTTTAACAAAGCCATATCCCAATCAACGAGTCGTGGCTGTGTGCAGCGCATGCATCAATTGAAACTACAGGTAGCCGTAGCCAATTTTTCACGTTTTTGCACATGACCACTGAACATTACTGGCACAGTGCCGGGTGTGGCTGTCCAGAGGGTTTACTAATGGCGGCCCATCGAGGCTCGCAGTGATACAATATTCCCACCAAGCCCACAGCATTCCTGAAACTTGCCAAAGACGCTGAAACAATGTCACCCCACTAACTGTCTGACTGGTAGACAAGCAGTCTTGACGTTTTCACCATGTGAACAACACCTGATGTAACTCACAATAGAACTGTCGCTTTGTCATGCTTGTTACATTTTTCTTGCGTTCGTTAAGCTTCAAGAGCAAAAAAAAAGGCCATTTTACTTGAGAACGTACAGTGTTTCCTAGGTTTTGTTAAAAATTACTCCATTATCATGCAAAGCTGTTTTACCATACATGTGAATCAGCGCACAAACTTCATGGAGTGAAACCACAGACACCAGGTATGACAGAGCAGTTACGGCTCTTAAACCAATTTTTGGCATTCACTCAATAGGGGAAGCAATAGTTTTCGCCACAATTGGACGGAAAAAAGGTTTTGATGATGAGGGCTTTTTTATTACCGTGACAAGTTTGCTGCGTTGTCTGATTGACGGTTCAGGCGTGGTGTCATTGTCAACGTGACTGCCAGGCTCGGCGTAGGTGTGGGCGGCAACCGCCCTCCTCTCGCTACTGGACTTTCTGCTCCTCGTCAGCTACGGACAAAAAGCAGAAAAGTAAAGTGTGAATGTTTCTTCTCAAGCACTGAGCATCTTTCAACCAGAAAGTCACTTCCACACCAAAACAAAATTAAGAGACCCCTATCTGATCATCCATGTTCGGTAGGTTAGCAAAATCTTGGCAAAAAAGAAAATGACCACTGCTGAGTAGGGGTCAATGAAGAATTGGGGAGCTACATGTACAGGTAGTGTACGTACAGCAAGATAAAACTACACGTAGAGGAGCAAACAGGAATGAAAATGATACTTCAGAGAAAGCCAATAATGTCATTAGTCTGATACACAACCCACCGATGAGGGCACCTTAATTGACATCAGGGATTTATTTCAGAATTTTCCAGCTAACGTGTTATATGCATTTGCATGCATGTACCGTGCGTTGAACTTGCATGTTGCATTTCGCGTATACAAGTGAAATCCTTTGAAAGTTGTTCCGTCTTACATATGTCATTCTTTTCTACGAACATGCACACGAATTCCAATTGAATGCACTCTAAGGGTAGGAATTTACCGGCACGTTTAATTTGAAAAATATGCAGAAACCTTTCCCACACCATTTAAACGTGTAAACCCTTACCGTGGTGTCATTACAAACTTTAAATAAAACAAATTCTATACAATGTAAATAGCTGACACAAAGTTCCGGTGATGAATTCATGGTATTCCTTTGATCTGACCGGGCAGTAAAATGTTCTGCAAATCAGATTACCAGTACATTTTACACGCATTGTTTACAATAAAAATGAACGTGACTGTATCAATCAAAACGTCAAACCTCTAAATGGGACGGTTCCATTTAAACGTTTGGGAAAAATTTGTAAACAGATTTGGGACTTTTTTGTTTAAAAACATGTTGACATCTCACCCTTACTGCACGTAGGACGGCGTATTACATATTTAAACGTGCAAGGAATGAGGAGTTAGCACTCTAGTAAATTAACAGAGCTCTAGGTACACATGTAAGTGTGCAGTTCCAGATGTCAAGACATTACGACAACACAAACAGCATGCAGGTAAAAAGGCAGGCAGACAGTTATTAGGACTGTCAATGA